GGTTTTTCCCTTCTTTTTCTTGTGGGTCCTTGGAATGTCCCACTCGTCGTCTCCGCTTTCAACCGAGACGCAGTGACCATCTGGAGTGATTAGCGGATTCGTACCTTGCGGGGGACGGGATGGTCCTGCGGCGTTAAGCGCACCAGTCAAGTTGATGGGGGCCACAGCGCTGACTAGCTGCGGCTGGAAAGGTGATGGTTGCGGCACTGGCGTTTGGAAGGGAGACACCGCCATTGGAGCTTGTAGGGGCATGGTTCCCGTGCCTGGAAGAGCGAACGGGAACATACCCGGGAGGAAAGGCACCCCCCCATTCTGTTGGCACATAGCCATGACCTGGCCAAAGCCCTGGATGGCCTGCAGGTTGGCTGGGTCATTCACGAACTGGGTCATGCTTGGTGGGAAAGTGACCCTCGGTCCATCGGAAGGGACGGGAGCCGTGAATGGACTGACCATGCAGGGTGTTGGAACCGAGCTTAGCCCCAATGGCAAAACCGGAGCAGAAACGGTTGGCAGGGTAACAGCCATGGGGATGCTGGTACCTTCAGTGGTGGCTTGCACCTGAGCAGGGGTGGCGTTGATTTGCTGGCTGGAAGACATCTTGAGTGGTGTTTTTGTGGGTAGGTTTGTGTTTAGAAAAGAAAAAACCTTAACGGTCCCACGGTCGGTGCCAAAAATGATGGTGTAAATTACTTGACCGGTCAAACTATACTAGACCGGGTCTAGAATAGTTGGCTTGATTTCGTAAAGTAAGGAAAGTAAAAACACTCAGATTAACCGGTAGGACTTTAGGTGGAACACTTGTAGCCCAAGCTATATTGTAACAGAGAATACGCGGTCACTTTTACAAGGGAGTTTAGAGAGAGTGAATTCGGATCTCTTCTTCGAGGGTCACAAGTGGTATATATACTAAGCTAGGGGGGGCAGGACCACGTGTGCCCGCGTGGGGGCACGCAGCTGGCGTGGTGTGACCTGACTGGTTTCGTCCTTGAGCTGTCCTGTCGCCTTGTGATGGGAATCGCTACCCTTGTCGTGGTCTGGCTTGGAAATGTTCCTTCGGCATCTCTGCAATTCCAACCACTACAGTCCAAGTCTCTCTTGGATTCTCCCTGCCGACACCCATCAATCTTGTGAAAGTACACCGGTTGGTTCTCGAAGGTTGGGTTTAACTGACTTCGGAATTGGCTCTTGATGGTAAAGTATTTTGACCGGTATACTATCTGAAGTACACCGGTCAACTTCGCGGTCAACCAGTCATCATTTTGCCGACGATCCAGACCACTCTTTTGAGTTCGACTTCTTTGACCGGTCAACTATCCGGTCCTGACCTTTGACCGGTCATGGGTGAAATACACCCATCACGTCCTATGCCATGCATGTCAATTTCTCCCTTGCCCATGTCTTGTATAGACAAATCATACATGTTGGCATGTAAAATTCTTGTTCACTATTCATAGGGTCAAATTTTGTTCATTTATTGGCTTATTTTTGTTGTTCATTTGGTAAAATATACATAATATAGTTATGTCACATCTAGTTTTTTATATCTTTTCATATAATTTTTAAATATGTAATTTTTCGTTTTTAATTCCATTCTATTTTTCATACAAAATGATTTGAAAATAATTTCAGTCAAACATAATAAGGTGCAAAGGAAACATTATTCTTGGATGGAATTGAAGCAGCATTCAGTAATGTTAAAATTCTTCATAAAGGATGATAACTAAACCATACATCAATCCTGTTTGTCGAAGAACTATGATTACAGATACAACTTGGGGCTTTTTTGGGAGTCTTTTTTGAGATGGAGAAACTAATTAGGGAAAAAATCCTAAATAGGACTAAAACATATCAAATATATCTTAATAGGACTCTAAAACTTAAATCCCCCAAATAGGACTTAATTTGCGTTGCCATACCCAAAATACCCCTCGCCATTTGTGACACAGAACCATTTTTTTTCTCACTGATCGCGCTACATGTACACAAGACCACAAATACTTGAACCACATGTCCACATGTCACATTACCACAGTGCAAACTCTTATTTTGTAAATAAAAACATGGAGCTCCTACGTTAGTACTTTCTCTAAAGTAGGAGTACAGTAAAAAAATGAAAATATAACAAAATTGAAGTTTCATATTTTTATCCCCAAAATATGTGTTAAAATACATTTACATTACCGAGCATGACCATGTATATTACAACAAACGTCTATGTATAGTGTCATATTATCACAGTGTGAACCTATTTTTAGGGATAAAAACATGAAATTTATATCATATTTTGGTACTTTCTCTATGTTTTATTTCTTTAAAATTAAAGTGATTAAACACAAAAGGATAAATGGGCCGCACAAGAAAAAATGAAATACAGAGAAAGTTAATATCTCCATGTACAATAAAAAAGATAAGAAAAAAGGATGGACTAATGAAGAAATTTAAAAAAAAAACATAATAAAAAGGAAAAAGATAAAAAACTATCTAATTTAGTAAATAGATCTATCAAAGATCAAGTATTGGAGGTTGGAATTTAGTAAGAAAAATAAAAGCACCTCTGTGGTTCAGGGCGTGTGTTGTTCCAGACATGACACTCTCCTTCAACAAAAATGATGGAAAAAATGGAGATGAATGGTGAAGTCTTACGTGAAAAGAAATAAGAGGGCAAAATTGGGAGAGAAACAAAGAATGTGGCGGGAGATGTCCTACTTGGGGGATAAAAAACTTGAACTCCTATTTTAGGGATTAGTACAATGTTTTAGACTTTTAGTTCTGTTAGGGTAATTTCTCGAATGACAAATGTTATTTAGATGAAACGAAATTATGAAATAAAAATGTCAACAAGGAATGACATTTTAAAAAGTACATTACATCTTAGCACAAGCAATTTTAACACAATTAAATCATACTAAAAAAGTCATGTAATGCAACATAAAGTGATATCAAATAGTGTTTGGATCTTCCACTCTTGGAATAAGATTTCTATGTGTTTGGGTGGACTATACTAGCATATGTACATATATACTAACGCCTCAATTTTGTAGAAAGGAGAGATAAAATCATAACAAGATGAGACAGAACGTCTTCCAATAGCAGCCACCGCATGAACGCAAATAAATTGATCAAGTTGGAATTCACAACATGTGCATGTTTTGTCCTTTAATGACAGTCCAGCAAAGTATGTAATGTGGATATTACCAGTGTCATAATCTGTAATGTGGTGATGAATATTAAGAACCATTGTAATGTAAAGTGTCACAATATGTAATGTGGTAATGTGTATTAGTGGTAAACACAATGTTTTAGTCCTATTATGAGTGATTTCTAAACTAATTATTTACTTTTTATTACTCCCTCTATCCCATAAGTATTGTCATAGTCACTATTTTAGTCTCTCTATAACTTTTATTTGTATGATTTAATTAAACGTTTAGTAAAATTAAATATTCTTATTTTTTGTTTTGTAAAAACTTTAACGTGAATTTTAAACCTGTGACATAATTTATCTTTACAATCGCTATTCTGCGCTGGGGTCGAACTTAAGTGAACTTTTCCATGAGTGTTCGAGAATGGGCTTCGTACCAATCAAGCCAAAAGAGATGTTCCTAAACTCACACTTACAATGCAGCTAATGAGCTAAATGTCAATTTTACATTAATCCATCACCAACCTATTGCCATAAAATCAAAACAATATTTCCATGATGTCTTTTTCTTATAACTTTGTATACATTGAAAATAAAACAATGGCGGTAAACTACAAAAAGTCAGTAAGCTAAACAAGCATACAATGTAAGCTAAAAAAATAATTAAAATTAATTATACGAAGTACAAAGTGATAAAGATAGGCAAGAAAATATGGGATGCCCCGAATTAGAATTTCATATCTATACTTCCACCATCCCACAAAGTTTGTCAGTGTCATTATCAATAATTTTAGTTTGTACAGAGTACATTTTATTGATCATTTGATAAAATAAAATTTTTTTATTACATTTTTTTAATAAAACTTTTGATGTAATTTTGAACAGTATAAGTTATAATTTTTTTGTGCCCAATTGTATTTTAAACTAATTTTAGAAGAGATGAAAGGGAGATTGACAAACATTGTACTCCCTCCGTCCCCCAGTTTTTGTCTACTTTTAACTTTTGGAACTGTTCATCTAAGTATTTTGACTCATCAAATTCTCTCAATGTGTAAGCCTAAATATAGTCATGTGTAATCTTGTTTGATTTGCCTTAACATATAGATTATTAATATATAATTTCTATAATTTTTTAATATACAAATTACAAGATAAAATGGATTAAAGAAATGCATTGGATGGTGTGTAAAAATAAAAGTGGACAAATACTCTAGGACGGAAGGAGTATAACAAATGGAGTATTAGACTTTCAAATACTGCAAAACCCATTCTACAATTGGAAATGAAGTACTATTGAAATATGTACAACTCTAAAATTGAATATATGAAGTTCGAAATGGGAGATGCTCTTATTAGGGAAACAATATTTTGATTTTATACGGAGTACAAAGTTAGAAAAAAGTAGGTAGTATTTGGAAAATGAGAACTCATTTAAATTCCTGAATTTCAATTTTAAACCAAGTTTTCAAATTACACAAGGGTGTTGTAGATTAGAGAGAAAAAGACTAAAATAAGAACCAATCATAACAATGTACATTACCAAAAAACATAATAATATGCACATATAAAATACTACATTACAGCAGTGTAAATTCTAATTTAGCAAAAAACATAGAACTCCTATTTCAATACTTTCTTTATATTTTACTCATATTTAGTGTGATTTCTTTAGATTAGATTTTGTTGAGAATTTCATGAATTTAACCCAAACCTAAATTTTTTAGATTTTCAAAAATGTAATTTGGGTCAAATATGAAATTCAAATTCAAGTGTAAGTTCCCAGCCACGCCATAAGTGTAAACGTCCCTGGTATAATTGAAACAGGAACATTCCAAGTCAAAATTTACCGGACCTGAAAAGATTTGACTTGAGAGAATATACGGACCGCAAAGCCAAGAAAAAAAAGGACAAAAGGCCCACAAATTTAAAAATAAAAAAAAGATACAATTGTGAATTCAATTTGCAACGCGTGACATATAAATCGATTTGTATAACATAAATCATATGCTTTCTATCAAATACTCCGAATGACATGAGATGAAAATTTATAAAATTAATGGGATAGACCAAAATGAAAAAAGTCATCTTAAGCTGACTTTACTTTCTTAAGAAGACATAATAAAAATAATTCATCAAATCCCATAAAGAAACTCAACCTTACACCAAGAGCATTCTATGAAATCCAGTAAATTTAGAGAGAGCATTGCACCTTTCATGTTCATATCTTAAAGTAAGCTGATTCAAGAGAGTACAATATGCAACCAAAAGAAAGATTCACCTGCACTGTTTCTGCAAGCTTTAGTCCCCAAACTCCAGCTTGCAATCCACAGGACAGTTTGCATGAAAAAACATGAAGACATTGAGAAAACAAATATGAACTGCAAAAAATGGTGAACCCTGCAATACAAGCAAAATGATGAGGAAAACGCACATTAGCAGATAAATTTCAGCCACAGTAACTACAATGAGAGAAATTGAACTTTTGAGTTTTCACACGAATTACGTATTTGGTTATACGATTACAATTCATATCTATCCGTTAGTCTCAAATTATTTGTAAAATAACAAGT